TAAATCTTCAGGAACAGCTTCTCTTTCTTCCTGTTAATTACAAAAATAGAATACATAAATATAGTGCAGACATAATAAAATCTTTTTATATATTCGTTTATATTATTTTACTTGACTATGAGCTCGTTCTAAATGCTGCTGTAAATTGAATTTTATAATATACTCAGCACCACATAAATGGCAATAATATACACTAAGAGCATCATTCATTGAATTCACTTTGATCTTATTGCTAGGAGGAGGTGTTGCAATTGGTTGAAATAGATGTACCATCCTGTGAATTAAATTATTACATATAATTAATAATAGAAACATTAAATAATTCATTATTAACAAAAAATTGCATTTCACCTCTTATGTATAGAACGATAGTGATAATCTAAAGCTTTCTCGTTATAAAATAATACATCACAGTCTTCACATTTTTTATGTTGTTCTTTCCTCTCACTTTCAGATGAATCATGCGACACTTGATGATTATCCCTGTGTGTCTAATTAGTAATAAATAATGTAAAAAATTAAGAAAAGTCTATATAAATTATACAAATACAAACTTACTTTTAGAGGAAATTGCATTCCACAGTAATGGCAATAAAATTTTGTTGGGGAATTAGGATGGACCTTAAATCTATGTCTTATTGTTGCAGTAATTGAATCAAATGCTTCTCCACACATATCACACTGGGTATCAGCATTTTTGCTTGTCTTCACAGGTCTGCCACGAGTATCAATTTCCTTATTAGCATGTTTCCTATATAATTACAAATAATTTTATATTTTTTTATATTATATTAAAAGTCTTGAAAAACATCTATGTTAGTATTTCAAGAATTTTTCAATTTTTCTCTACATCATTTATTCATTTTTATTATTTCAATTAACTAAAATCTGAATAGACATCTTTTACTAATATTTTTTATAACTATAAATAATTTTCGTAGTTTATAACATAGCTCTTCACATTTTAATAAAGTAATGCGAAAAATTTTTAATTTCTAATTAATGTTTGAATTTAAACGTACAATAAAAATAATGTTATTAACACGTTTTATTATTAAATTTAAATAATAACGCAAAAGAATTTTTAGTTTGATTAATTTTTATTCATATCGTAAATATCAAATATTAGTAATGAAAATATAAATGTTTAGAGAAGTTAATTTTTGAATAAATTAAATAAAAACTTAACCCTGAAAAATTGTTTTTAAATTTATTTCCATACATGATTTGTAATAACAGATTTGTTGTTTGCAGTTTAGCAGTTATTTAAGGCTGTTTTATCAGAAACAACTTTAACATAAAGGTATTTTGGAAAATGAAATCAATCGAATAAAACAGCGCGAATAATCGTACTCTACCGGTAACATAGCTGAATTTGTAATTACTATACATGAATTAAAAATATATGTTTATGAGCTCATTTCCTATGAATATATATATAATAATAAGAGGAAAACATGGGTTGTATATACTAAAAATGCCTCATTTCATAAAGCTGTTTGCTTGGTTATGAATAAGATCAAAAATAATAATTTCTTTCAATACCTAAAATGTGCCTGCAAGGCTTCCTTGGATTCTAATTTCGTGTCACACAAAACGCAATTGTGCTGCCCTTTAGCACTCATTTAGGCGCGAATTCTTACTTCGAAAAACATTAGAAATTTAACAGACGTCTTTGCGCCAGGTAATATAATGTACAGATTCTTCTCGTTATACAATTCAACTGTAATAACTATTTTTAAAATAAATCACAATCTATATCAATATAATTCTCGTTGTTTCAAAATACTACTGTTTATTGACATTTAATGTTATTTATTCGCGAATAAACGCCAAAAACTTCACGGATCTCACGTCCGCGTAGAAAAATCAATTTTCAGCCATTTTATTATGTTGAAAGTCGCGCCACCTATCATACACCAATCCAAAAAGAATAGAATTCTAGAATAGTACAATATTCTTCATGTTGTGAAATCTTTTATAAAAGTAAAATCAATGATAAAACTAAATACAAATACAAATATAAATTATATAAAAGATATATTTGTTCTATTCATATTTTAAATAAATATGACCCTTAATCTACAAGAATATAATTAAAACATTCTTTATTTCTTAGAAAGAAATTGTGTGTTACGTGTTATACATGTATTGTTGCGAACCTCGCCTGTATGTATGTGTGCAATATCGTGTGAATTTAGCTGCAAGCTTGTAATCACAAGCATTGAATGAAATGTAATATGGCGACGATGCCATAAGAGTATGGTTGCAGCATGTCTGCATTATGTTATATCAATGCTCATAAATTAGGAGCCAAAATTCAAAGTAATAAACAAACAAAGGAAAGGACATTGTAAATCGTTCAGCGCGGGTGGTCGTGCTGGGAGAGAGTTGGAAAACCAGAGAAATAAGACTGTCACACTTGAAGTTTCTAAGAAACTAATATATTGCGGGCCGTATCTAATTCATTACTCTTAACGAAAATCATGTTGATTCTTGAAACTGTCGAAGTCACTTCGACATCCTGCTTATTTACAGAGGGTCGTAAATTTTCTTAAGGGTTGCCTTGGCTCGCTAGCGCGAGACTTTTTTGTCTTTCGTTCTCTCTGGATCCCACGCTTTCTCTTAGCACGTGTGCATGGAATCGTTCTCGAGTCTTGGCGGAGCACCACCATCTTCCACTCGCCTGAGGGTGGACCGAAGCCAGGGAGAGGGACCGCCTCCGGACAAGGATGGACTCCTCCACCATTGGGCCAGGGTTGATCCTGAGGGAGGATTCAGGATCCAGCGAGGAGGGGATGGTAGCCAACATCGATCGAAGATCTTCACCGCCAAGCTCAGAACGATTCAAAGCTTCAACCCAACTGGATTTTGAAAAGCAAATAATAAAGTATTTACCAAAAATATCTTTTAAACGCAAAGTGTTTTCATTTATTAAACGCCGCGCCACGAGCAAAGCGCTTCAGCGCTTCACGGGCACCTTACCCACGTTCGACCTTTTACACAGCCGACTCTAGTACTAGCCGTGCTGAAGTAAAAATGGCAACACCGCGGGAGTCTGGTCTGAATATATCAACACCTAGCCTACTCTATCTGCCTCCCGGACTCCCGGACTCTCAGCCAATCAACGTCGTCAGACTCCCGACTACTCTCTGGACTTCACATAACCTCTTTGGTTTCGTTCCAATAATTTCGCTTGTTTCAAGGTTTTTATTAACTTATATACACGTTCATCAATTCTTAAATGTTTCAATTTGACCCAAAGATGGTTTCATTTTGCTTCATACCTAAATTTTCTTGAAACCACTGTAAATATTTCAAATATCATGCTTCACAACACCAAACTACTTTGAGAGTACACAAAATATATATCACATTTATAACAATTTTATACTACCACATCACTTCTATTTGCCATAGTTGCAACGTTTATATATTGTTTATACATAATTAACACCAAATAGTGTATATTACTACAGCTTTTAATTAAAAAAGACGTTAATTACAATTCCGAGCACAGGACTCTGTTTTTGAAAATAGGACTCCCGATTGTCACGTGAGCGGTATTGCCACGTTGTTCAGCATGGCTAGTACTAGAGTCGGCTGTGATGGTAGGCTTCTCCAGGAAAAATGGGGAAGCCTTCCTTCCCATTAGTTACCCCCAGATCAAAGAGGAGGTATAACAAGAGGCGACACTCCCGGCGGCACCTTTGATGTCGAGGTTTTGCTGTTCCTTTAAATGAGTAGTATCAACGAGCGGGAAGTTTGAATGAGTTGGATGTAATACTCTTTATAACTAGAAACTTTTTTGTGTCGTCAATTTTTCTGTATATTATTAATCGAAGTATTTACATTAATTTTACATAATTGAAAAGTGGGAAAGTAAAAAATATAATAAAATGATGGTATTAGAAAATATATTTGAACATAAATTACACAATTATACAATAAGATTTGGGAAGGTTCTCGAAAATATATTTAAACATAAATTACACAATTATACAATAAGATTTGGGAAGGTTCTCGAAAATATATTTGAACATACATTTCCAACAGAAATGACCAAGCCACAGTGCACTCCGTACCTACCTGGTACCTGCCAGGTAAGTACGGAAATTCCCGGTTTATGACGGTCTGAAATGCCATAAATTCTTGCTTTTTGGAGCATTCTGACAAAGAAGTTTCCACAATATAGGCTATGTACGTAAATCCACAGTACAAACTTGACGCGCGCTCACGACTGTTCACGGTGCAAACCGAAGATTGCCGAATGTACCTTTAAATGGGTAGTATCACTTTGTCTCACTCTACAAGTAGTTTCTCTCTCAGAGTGTCGCCTCTTATTATACTTACTCTTTGCCCAGATTACAGGTACTTCTGCTGTGGCTTGACCCACTAAAAACTCGATTTCACTACAGAAAACGCAATTTTCCCTATGAAAAACACCACTCGGAGCGAAAATTCCAGCGCACTCACCGCTCCGCTCAACCGTCGAAACGGAGTCAGACCCCTCAAATCATGAACCCCTAAATCATGATCTCTCGAAATCAGAAGCATGTCCAGTCTTCTACATTTGTAGTCACTGCCGAAATTAACAAAGAAATTATGCCATATGCCAACTTCACACATTAACTTTAAATTTACTTGTTGAAAATCAATCTTGTATTATATTTAATTCTAAATAGTGTCAGTAATAATTTATAACATAAGGTAATACGTAAAATTTAACTAAAATATATATTTTAAATATTTTATAATTATACTTTATCAAAATATGTAGTAGTACATAAATTAAATTGCATTTTGTATGAGTTAATAAATATGCATTTTTGCAAAATTTATACATTATTTATTATAATATAATTTTAAAGTAACCATACATTGATGTTACACTAATATTTGTGATTGCTGTAACTAGAAGAATATTTATATGAATAAAGAAAGTTTATATTAGGTTTACATTAATGAAATTTTATAAATAAAATAATATTATCATAGAAAAAGTTACAAATGTATGTGTATTTGTTTAATTACAATACATCTTTAAGTCTTTAGCAATTCTGCTTTTGTGGCACAGGTACACATAACTTAAGAAAATACAAATAAAATTATCACAAATTACTGCAAATAAGTTGTCCCTTTTATCTATACATGATCTCTATTGTATAAATATGTACAATTATTGGTTGGGTTATACGTTTTGTAAACATTCGATAGGAATTAACGCAAATTAGATTACAGTATATTAAAGCAATATGAAACAATATACTTCAAGTATAGGACATAATCATTTAAACGTGATTTTTTTTAATTAAGTCAGATAAAAAAAATTTTAAATTCAATTAAAATATTTATATTAATTATATTACACACACATTCTTGTCAGTATATTGTAATTACAATAACAAACGTGAACTGTTGTATTTTAATTATATAAATAATTAGTGGATCAATACTGATTTGTTAAGAACAAACAACAGTTTACGATTGTAAATTTTTACACGCGTCGTTATGTACTTGTCACTATACTGGTCTACTATATACTACAGTTTTGTTTATATTATTGACAACTTTATGTTTGAATATGTACTTCGATATTAAAATACTACATTATTTTTACTAACTTAAATTCCATATTTTGCATAACAATACAAATTATTTCCTAGTTATAAAATCAAAGTATTCTGTTATTGTTATATAAATATGAGATGTGTGATTCGTGTCAAATGAGTTATAAGACAATTATAATGATAAAAAACTAAATACAATTTGAACATTTTAAAAATTACTAGCAGTTTACTATTTCACTAAATGAATCATTTACTAAAGCAAGAAAATACTAAATGTTATTTATACAGAATATTGTGTTGTGTATTTGACAAAATAAAGAAATAAGCTAAAATTAAATAATCTCTAATGTAGTATTCAGATCATAAGTTCATGATGACAATTACAAAATATTACGATCTTTTATGTATGCCGAAGTGATGATATTTTATCACTGTGTCTATGAGCAAGTCTTATTTCAATTAAAAAAATGTAATTTTTTGGATACCTCACTATTTGTAATTATTTGTTCGCTATACAATTATTTAAAAAATATTATGTTCATTTTATTGAATGACAAATAATGATGATAAAGCAGTCTTACAAAAATCGGTGTACTAAGCACACCTGAGGCATTGCTAATTAATTCAATTTTGTCCTTATAACAAGAACATCAAGAGTATATTCTTATAAAATCTAAATAAACTAATAAAGAATAATACTTAAGAATATATCCATTATTCAGATAACTTGCTGGTAATTCCATGGTACATGGAATGAAGACTGGAACAGTATTTAGAAAAATTAATTCTCTTTATGATGATGGACCTTTTCTTCTCTTGTTGCTTTCTATTTTCTTCTTATTCCCAAGTCCTAACAAGATTATAATTTATTTAAAAAAACAATAAACGTTTTATGTTAAAAGCAATATTTGTGTTATAATACATTTCAATAATTAAAAAAATTATCTTACGTTTTAGTTGAGCCACTCGAGAACGAGTTACACGGGGAGAAGTCTTAGATACAGCAAACGCTGGTACAGAAGTCTTCTTCTTTAATTGAGCTATTTGTTCCATGGCTGGTGTCATCCACTTTGTTTTAAGATCACTATTTGAAAAACATATTATTTTCATTATACATTATTATTGAAATACTCTAGTTCTATAAATCGAAGTATAATATTTACTCTAATGATTTTGGTAATCTGTGTCGAAATGTGCTTGATTGTTTTTCCTTCATCTTTTGAATTACATTTAACATAGCGTATGTAGGTAAGGATGGAGGTGGTGGAGATGGGGGTGGTGTAAGTGGTGATGGTGGGGACTGTACATTAATTTTTGCAAGTTTATCAGGGTGAAGTGCTAATACTGCTTCCCAACAAAATTCTTGTTTTTCAACTTGACATCTCGGTTGCGTATTTCGCGTCACACGAATCTAGAAATAGTAACACTTTAATAAAATAATGATATAATAACAATTTAATTAACGTGATATAAAATTTCATTCTAATAAAAAATAATGTATAGAAAAAAATGATACCTCGGCATTAACAGGCCGACACGGTTTTCTTTCTCTTAAATATGGTCGTTTAAAAGATATAGGATAAGAAATATTCTCATTAGATTCTTTTTCACGATATAAATATATAGGAACGTTATTTTTTTGTTTAAAACCAGATTGAAATAAACCACGCAGGTAAGAATAGTTAGGTTTAGTCTCGAATCCCAATTCAGTAATATATTTCATATATTCCACAATGGCAGCTGTTCAAAAATATTTATCATTAAAACCTTTTAAAGAATATATGACAATAAGTAATATAACATTCATAAATCTTTACAAACTAAATACTGTCTACAAACAATAAGGTCAAGAAAATATGTTTTAGTTTTATATACAAGTCTTGTAACTTACCAGGTGGCTTTTCATAAGGAAAACATTTATGTATAAATAATGGTAAATTTGCAAAAAATAATTCTTTTTGTGCATGAACTTCCTCAAGATCCATTGATGATGGTACAGTATCATTTTCTTTTTCCCAAGGCAATTTACCACATAACCATTGCAATATATTATATCCTAGTGTTTCTAAATCTCCCCTTCTTGAGTGTGCTGAGTATTAATTTAATATGTAATACACTGTGTAATATAGTATTCCAAAATATTTATATTACATTTACAACTTACTTCCATGATGTGCATCTCTTGATGTAAACTCTAATGTACCCTCGTGTGCTCTTCTTTCATCATGAACAAACGGTTTATGCATACCTTCCGCTGTACGAAAACGATAAGCTAATCCATAATCAACTAAATATGCTTGGGACTTCTTTGCTTTAATATCTTCCTCGCGTAGAGATAATAAAATGTTTGATCCTTTAACATCTGCATGAGCATATCCTCGGCTATGAATATATTCAATTGCATCCAACTATGTAAGAGAAAAATAATGGAATTACAGAACTAAAAAAATATAGATAAATTATAAAAGTTTTGTAATTTTACAATGAAATACCATCTGAATAGCTAGTCTGTTAACAAGTTTAGTTGGTAATTTTTTTCCATTTGATACAAATAGTTTTCCAATATCAATACCATATCTCGGAATTACTAAGAATCTGTACTTTTCACCCTGGTATGTGTAAGAACCTGATCCTTCATACGTTGGAACACCTATCCGTTTTTTCCCTTGTGATTTACACCAACCGTCAACTAAAATTTATTATGTTAACATACATGTATAGAAAGTGTAAAGTGCATATATTATTCATGATTGAATAACTTACTCATATGCTTACGAGCTGCTCTTATATAAAAATTCATTTCAACAAATAATGGGCCATTATTATGTGGTTCAATTTTGATAACATACTTTGCATCTTGTCCAACTGGTGAATCAATATCACTTGATGCTGTAATAAAAAAATGAAATTAACTATGAATAACAAAAATACATTTATTCTGTATAAATCTTTTTTTAAACGCAATTTAATAAAAAGTGGAGGAATAAAGTATTACCTAAATATACATCACCAAATCCACCATATCCTATTGTATGCCCCAATTTCCATTTGTTTTGAGTAATATCAGTAAGTATTTCTCCAACTGGTAAATGATTAGGTAATTTACAACCTGTAGCTGCTCTTCTTTTAAGATGCATTTCTTCGCCTCTTCTTGGTGCCATTATCACTATATAATCATTTGTATGAAACACAATCAAACAATTTATTGTTTATCAAAGACAAAACAAGGCTTGTTCTTTAAAAAGGTACATTTTATAAAATATTTCCAAGCATGTTTTATAAGATTTTATTAAAATATATCAAACAAAAACACACGAAACACTGATATAATAATTTATTATACTAGTTAGTATTAATATAAATTCCTAAATAATGAATGTTAATATACACATTTATATTTAAAACAACACTTTATTACGTAAAAAGGATTCAATAAAAACTTATTTTAGTTGAAATCATCTCTATTTTTTTTTTTTACAGATATTTACATATTAAGAAATAATGAATAAGGACATTAACAACAAGTGTAAATGATTTTTCACATTTATATATATACAAAGAATTATGTGAGTACCTCAAAATTTAATATTTAAAAGAATGAAAATATTGGAAATACAGTTTGTATTAAGAATAAATAATATAATTTACACTTAAACTTTGTAGTAATTATAAAACAGAATTAATGATGCAACTAATGAAATTTTGCAAAGTATCTATATCTGACTTAGTTTTATCAAACCAAATGTATAAGTTTATATGCAAGTAATGTACAAATTTGTAATTATATCAGAAAAATATATACACATTTATACATTTAAAATTATAGAAAGAATAATTGCTCTCATACATAAAAATGAAATTTATATTTTAAAGAAAAATATATCACTTTTGTTTAAAATGATTTCATCATCTTTAGGCATTTAAATCATTTGAAATAAATATACGAATTGTTTTTGTTTCCTACTGTATATAATTATTTTCTATTGTCAAATCATACAAAATAAATTAAATTTATGTAGTATTATAAAAAAATTAAATATCAATACTGTATAGAATACAGTAAAAAATAGTTGAGAATAACATAAAATTGTAGAAACGTGTATACAACATTATTGTGATTAACCGTTACTAATATATTAAAACATGTATTATTTGAATTCTAATCAAGATTATCTAATGAATATAAATTATATATATAATTATAAAAATGTTTGAAATCATTTCTAGTATTTCCTCGAAACTACATATATGATCCACAGATCCGCTTCTCAAAACATTTTTATTTTCTTTTCTGCGTGAATTCGATTAAAAAATCTACTTGTAAAAATTCTGTGTCCAACTGTCATCCTGAATAGTTAACTTAGCAGTGAAAAGTACAGAGTATTCTTCCATTTTAACTTGTATACCTCAGAAATTGTATTAGAGGACATTGCATACAGTCACTAATTGCTTTGCTGATCGGTATCTTCAATAATTTAGAATATTTATTTTTTTATAGTTTGAAATTATAACAATCCTCTGAAAAGAATCCACTTCACCCAGCTTAGGAATGCATCACACTGCCATTTCATGAACTAAGGACTAAGGAGTTTAGTGGAAGCCGATCAACTAAAGAGGGCGTTCTAAAATTTACAGTTTTCGATATTTGTGGAAATAATTTTAAAAATTCGGTTTTTATTTAATTTTTTCAAGGTTCTACTCCGAATTTACTAAATATTAGAATTTAAAGCAATAGTATCTGCATTTTCTGAATATTTTCAGCAATTTGCAAGTCTATGATCTGGAACTTCGTTTCTGTTATTCAAATTATGAATGGGTTTAAAGTATCTATTAGGCCGGTATTCAGAGTCGCAACTTATTTCTAAGCTGGTCTTAAGCATATGCTTAACGATAAGACATCGGCTAGATTCACAGTCACCGAATAAGCAACGTCAAGCAACGTCTTAAGCATCAGCTTAAGCATTTGCTTAGGAAAGTAAATGCTTATCGCTGTAGATTCACAGTCGATGCTTAATTTTCATAGTCGAATAAGTCCGTCTTATTTGTAGAAAACGAGTTCTTATTTGGCTTCATTGAGGTTATGTTATTAAGTCGACGATATTGAAGACTTAAGCACGCGTTTGAAGGTGTTATTGTGCAGTGATGGGACGGGAGGGAGTAGGTTAGGGTACACGAATACGGTAAAAGAGATTAAAATTACCGATCCCTCCTGCGATGCAGCTGTTAATTTGTTCGCGGTATTATGCTACTGCAAGTTTTCAGGTCATATAAATATATCAGTATCACTACTCCTAAAAGAAGTAGAAATAAATAAAGATTATCTATATATGTACTGTAATTGTAGCTTATTCTGGGAGACACGATGAATGTTTCTCAGCCCACAGTCTCCCCCATAGTATTTAAGGTGAGTTCACTAATAGGCAGTCTGATGAAGGACTATATCAAGTTTCCCAGGGATCCAGACAATTCCACTCAAAATCGCAGGTTATTCAATAATCTGGGACAGGGAAACAGAGCTATTGGTTTACCAGGTGTGGATTTTATATCATTATAACTTTTTCTATATACACATATACATACATACATATACAATGTAATTGATTTACCAGGTGTGGATGGTGCTATTGATTGCACCCACATTAGATTAACAGCATCCAGATTCAACAACATGGAAGAAATGTACAGGAATAGAAAAGGATATTTTTCATTGAATGTTCAGGTATGTCATTAAGTTATTTATTTTACCCAATATTTATTGAAATTAACCATATTAATATTTTACTCGACTGATTGATGCACAAATTAACATTAAATTATTCGATCGACTCAGGTACAATGAAATCCAGATCAGGACCCAACAAATAGTAGAAAGAACGTTCGGTGTTTGGAAGCGCCGTTTTCCATGTCTTACAAGGGGTGTAACAACGAAGTTCTTATGTTCCACAACAACGGTAGTTGCATGTGCTGTGTTGCATAATTTAGCCCTAATTTTCAGTGACATTCTTGTAGAAGAAGATGAAATTGAAAACCAAAATGAAGATGGAGAAGAATTATTAGGAAACGTGGAAACTGTTAATGGCATTGATGGATTTGCTACACGTGAAGCACTCATTGCTTGTACGTTTCATTGAGTAATTGTGTCAAATGAAATGTAATAAGGGGTTTTTTATGCCTATCGAGCCAATAAATAATCATTATTCTTTCGGCTCAAATTGGTTTAATTTATTGATTAAAATACCCTCATCCTCAGTCATATCACAACCTATACCTTGAACCAATAATTTCAGTCGTAAGTTTAATTTTGTGTTATTTTGTGTTCGTATTTCAGAATGAAACTTTAAATATAAGAGATTTTTATAACGTATGTGATAACATTAATTATAAAATTGTTCTTAATAAATTTGGCTTTTTTTATTAATAAATTTGGCTCTGTCTATCGCTCGCTCAATTATTTGAATTCAATTCAAAAACCGCGTCACTAAAGAAATAATGCTACATTTTCAAGAATCATTTTCATTGGTTGTTACAGTAGAAAATCGACGGAAATAGCCGAATGTCAAATAAGCATTGCTTAAGCATGGACCTCACTAAGCAAAGCTTAAGCATCGCTTCCTTAACTAAGTCGGTCTTATACTCCGACTCTGAATACATAGCGACTTAAGCATTGCTTATTCGAATAAGACGATCTTAGTCAAGAACGTTAAGTTCTTGCTTAGTTCAGTCCTTGCTTAAGTTGCGACTCTGAATACGGCCCTGTGAATCTGGTTGGATTGCAGTTTCCTGGGTAATTGATTTCGACTATTTTATCGGATAAATCAAGGTCGGAGAAGACGATAGGAAGTGTCCCGAGGTCGATATCACGTGGCATTACAAAGTTAAGGCCATTTTAAAAAATCACAATTTTTCAAAAATTTTCCGATAATTTCGGATCCAAAAAATAACCTGACCTAACCCAACCCAACTTATCAGCTAGAATAGCTAGCCTTTGAATTAGCTTAGCTTAGTTCTCATCAGCTAGAAAAGCTAGTCTTTAACTTAGCTTAGCTTAGTTCTCTTCAGCTAGAGTAGTTAGTTTCTAATTTAGATTTTTTAAAATGGCCATAACTTTGTAACGCTACGTGATATCGAGGATATCGATGATATCGAGGACAGTGAGGACATTGATAAATGTTTGGTATCATTTTAATTTGAAAAATCTCTCCAATGCGCTAGTAAAAGTTTCAATGAGAAAAAGTCAAAAATAAAAAAGTTTTATAATTGAATTGGTATTAGTAACACCGATACGTTTCGGCTCCTCGCCTTTAATCCTTGGACCTCTCGCTCCTCCACTATCTGTCCCTTTCTACGTTCACGCTTGGCTTGCGCCGCATGTAAACACAGAATCGATACCTCGGTTGAATAAATGCAACCGAGATTGGAACACAGTGGTTGCATTCCATGATATTCTGCTGTCCCAAAAATCCTCAGTCGTGAAGACGTCTTCGACAGTATGTATACCCTTTTGTTTACGACACCCCGCACGATTGGGTACTTTCTCTGGAAGGGGAAACACGCTGACAAAACACATATGGCCTCCCTCAATCGTTTGCCTACTTCGATTTTTTTAACTCCGAAAGCACAGCGCCCAAACCTATCGTAATTTCACCCTGCGGCCTTGAGTAGCTTTTGCAGGCGATTCTGAAAGTACTTTCCTGCGGGCCGCTTGCCTGTTGTAAACACTTTCCATTCAAACAAGCAATCCTTCGATTCCTAATAGTTGAGAGACCCAACGTGGTCATCAGCCATCCTCGATCACCAGGCCTGTTTAGTCTCACTCACCCTCTTTCAAGACCTCACGCAGTCCAAAGCAAACTAGAGTCGAGTTAATTGCCCTCGACGACCCTTAAAAATAAGCCGTCGCTAACACATTGGTAAAAGTACAACAGTTTTATTGTTGCATTGGCCTCGAAAAACTGGTCAAAAATATTTTAGCATTATTTTAAAACGTAAAGCCATAGTGTAATAGGTTGTTGGAACGTCAATTACAACAGAACTGAACATATTCAATTAGTAATAGCTCAAAAAATACTAGAGATATAAAAGTGTACTTTGCTGTAATTATGCATATGAGGTAAATTTAATTCTATCACTTATCCTTGAAGAACCAAAGCAATATTTGGAAACCATATATTTCGAAGATACAATCCCTGTTGCATACACCACCTTCTACTGTATATGAAATACATGCTTTCAGATAAAAAATTATATAACGGTTTGAATGCAAGATATTTTTATTTTTATTTTTATTCATAACTTCGGCCTAAGTGTAGAATAATTACCTCCTCGCTGATTTTGATGATTTTTAGATATTTTATAGCAACCAATATTTTGAATCATTTTTTCCAGAACATATAAGCGACGGTCTCGCTTAGTTTCCGAAATATTTACGAAACACATCAGTTATAACATATTGAATTCTGCCTATAGATGTGCGCCTGCGACAGCACATGCATAAGTGTTGGTTGTCATCCGCTGGCCATTTGTCTTCTGTTCAGAAACGAGGGTCGGCGAACGTAAAGGCTCCGTTCATAACTGCATATACCAGACTTCAAGAAATGTGCAGTCCAATTCAATTAGAAATGAATATCATTGATGTGATGGGTTAGGAAAGGCTATATATTTAAATTCGGCTGCCGTAAAGCGGCCGGCAATGTTTTTCTGAAATAATAATAAATTAAAAAGAAGTATAAAAAGAAATTCTAAGCAATGAACAAAAGCGATTAAAAATGCGTATTATATATTATTTAAATAAAAGTGTTGCCGACCGCCTTACGACGGCCGGATGTAAATATATACCCTAACCTGACTTATTACATCAATAACATTTACTTGTAATTAAGTTTGAATAGACATTTCTTGGAGTCTGGTATATGTAGTTGTGAACGGAACCTTTACTCCTGCTCGACCCTCGTTTCTAAAGGGAAGGTAAGTGGCAACCAATCTGACGCGTATATATGCTGTCAGAAACGAACAACTATAGGTAGAATTCAATGCATCTGTATCGGCAGCTTTCTGCGAACATCTCGGAAACTAAACGAGACCGCTCTTTATATGTATAAGAAAAAGTTGTTGAAAAAATCGATTTTCAGTCATTACATACTAAATCGATCACTTTTTGACGTCACCATCGGTGACGAGAAATGAAAATTGACATCACAATGAGCTGGAAAAGGACGCGGTGTACCCCTGTTTCAGGTAGGCGAGTTGTCCGCTAATATGGCCGGTTATCTATCCCGTTGGTCTCAAACAGTCTCAAAGCAATACCAGCAGACCTCGTAATGACCCCATTTATACCTGGAAAACTGTATTAGTAACCACTCTTGGCCGTTGATATTGTTCAAAAAAAGAATAGAATATCATATCCGGAAATCGGGAAGGACGTATTTATTCTGCAGTTTTACCAAAAAAAAAAAGTAATAGCAACAAAAATTAATGATAGAAATAATGATCTCTTGACATATGGGTTGAAAATCGCTATCGTAATCGATTGATACATTCATGCACACAGGCGAGGTTCGCAACACGGCAGAGCGCTTCAGCGCTCCACAGGCACCTTATTCACGTCCTAAAATCCCTATAACCTGGAACGGCGCACGCAACAACACTGTTGCGTGTCCGTTCGCGGAAGATAGGGATATTTGGGGAATTAAAGGCGTAGGTACAATATCAATCATAGTGTCCGTTCGTCTAGTGAAAAAGCACTGACTTTGGAGTCCAAGTTTAACCGTAGCAAATATCGTAAATCTAATTATTTAATAAAAGCGTTAAATTAATTAACATAATCATCTGATAAAAGCTTTAAAATATTCAATAATTTAGAATTTCAATCATTTATTTGAAATTACAAAATACACTAGATGAACGGACACTATGATTGATATTGTACAATATCAATCATAGTGTCCGTTCGTCTAGTGAAAAAGCACTAAAGGGGAAGGTGCCCCTACCACCGGGTCACGCGCGAGCGCGCAGCCATTATGTCTTGTTCGCATGAGAAATACCTTTGTATTTCAGGAGAAAAGAAATTTTTTCAAATAAATGCTTAATCGGAGGAGTGAGGCGGTTCATTCCTTAATGAGTAAAATATATAATCAGCACCATTAAAAACTCGGTTGTCGAAATAATGAATTGCGTCGAGCCTCGGACAGCGAAGGTGGCTCCCTCCGCTCTATAAGATGGTGCACGAAACTGCGAACGCAGGCCGTGATTCCATACTGAACCGGAAGCTGCATAAGAGCCTCTTTCTCGCACTGTAACTTCTGTCCTTGTTTAGCCCCATTTCACTCCGACTCAAGGCTCGTCAAATGCCATCCTTGTCGTTTCCCTTACGTCAAGATAGCGCGAAACTGCCCCTGGTTCGAATGCGATTTGGGAAACAAGGTAATTAGAGGCTTTTGGAAACAATCCTTGTTACGTTTATAACTTTTTGTAATTGTTTAAACAATTTTTTGTCGAGGCATAAAATATACTATACCTTAAGGTGAATAACTGTTGCTTCTAAGGTCTTTTGATACCTCTAACGATTTCGGAGAAAAAGGAAAAAACGAAAAACGAATAAGATGAAACTGTTTCATTTTACTCGCTGTTATTCAATGCTTGCATTTACTCCTGTGTTAAAGAAACTGATATAAGAAAGAAGAAGATCTCCCATTAAGTTACTCGTATTTGCATTTTGTAAAGAGGATTGTTCCCAAAAGCCTCTAATTACCTTCTTTCCCAAACTCTGAGCTATTATGAAATTTGAAACACCAGAAGTATCGCACATGGCTAAAAAGTAATCGAGGCATTCGAACGAGAGGCGGTTTCGCGCTATCTCGACATAAGCGAAACGACAAGGATGACATTCGACGAGCCTGGAGTCGGAGTGAAATGGGGCTAAACAAGGACAGAAGTTACAGTGCGAGAGAGAGGCTCTTATGCAGCTTCCGGTTCGGTATGGAATCACGGTCTGCGTTCGCAGTTTCGTGCACCATCCTATAGGGCGGAGGGAGCCACCTTCGCCGTCCGAGGCTCGACGCAATTAATTATTTCGACAAGCGAGTTTTTAATTGTGCTGGTTATATATTTTACTCGTTGAAGAATGAACCGCCTCACTCCTCCGATTAAGCATTTATTTGAAAAAATTTCTTTTCTCCTGAAATACAAAGGTATTTCTCATGCGAACGAGACATAATGGCTGCGCGCTCGCGCGTGACCCGGTGGTAGGGGCACCTTCCCCTTTAGTGCTTTTTCACTAGACGAACGGACACTATGATTGATATTTTACATACATATGATAATCCGTGGAGCGCGGAGGCGCTCCGCTCGCAAGGCGCGGAAATGAAAAATATAAACTGTTATTCCTGTTTACTGTACTTTAATATTTAGAGTTCAATTTAAGGCTGATCTTTAACTTTGTGTTTACAATGCTTTAAATTGCTGCGTGAGAACGACTTGTCTAAATCGAGCGACAAAATCATTCTAACGATTCTGCGCTTGGCGGAGGAGATCTTCGCGCGTTGTCGGTCGATGCCCCTTCCTTGGTGGATCCTGGATCCTCCCTCAGGATCATCCCTCGTCCAATGGTGGAGGAGTCCACCCCGTCTCGTGTGGGCCCCTTCTCCTGGCTGTAGTCCACCCTCAGGCGCGTGGAAATGGAGGCGCTCCGCCAAGACGCTAGAACGTTGCAGCGCCCATGTGCTACGAGAAAGCGTGGGACCCAGAGAAATTAGGAAACGACAAGACCTTGTACTTGCCAAAGCAACTCTTGAGGAAATTTACGACCCTCTCAGAGTGCACGAATAGACAGGATATCGAAAAAGACTTCGTAGTTTTTAAGGACCGTTCGTGACTTGGTCGAAAACAACGAATTGGCTATGGTCTATCATAAATTGGTCTTTTAGGAACTTTCGAAGTGAAACTATTCCATTCTCTGGATTTCCGGCCTTCTCTCAGCTCGATCACCCACGTCGAGGGGTTTACAATTTACTCTTTGACTATTTATATAAACGTACGCACAGACGATTTTCGCTCTTAATTTATGACCATCGATACAAAGGTCCTCGAAGAACATTCAAGACATATCGATACAATAGACTATCGATAAATATTCCCATGGCAGTGTCGCCACACCACTCTAAACATATTCACGTGATAACGTTTCACGTTACAACACTATAACATTTTTCTACCAAAAAGTCCCTATATAGCAGCGGTTGGCGGTATCGCGTGCGTACGTTAAATATATTTCAAATTTGAATCTTCAGCGTTCTTCCGCTATCTTGTTTGGGACACAATAAACCAAATGTTGCAAAAGGTAATATTTTAAAACAATTTCACTAATGAAATAATAATAAAACGTACGTGTACGTACCTACATCAAAGTTATATAAGGAATATAGTTATGATTACTTTGGTAATATGAAAGAGAAATGTGTAGGCGGGAGAATATTATAACTTATTATTTCTCATTAAGTTCTGTTATTTAAGAAGTTATTAATTAGTATTCGATTCGTGACAATAATTTACATAAGATATATTAATTTATAATGACCATTAAAAAATCACAAACCACATTGTTGTATGAAATATTAGTATGTTTCTAACCTCAAACTAATTTTACATAAATTTATAAATTTCATGAAAGATATATATGTTGATTGATAGAATGGCTGAAGAGAATGAGGATAGTAAAAATTCTTCTGAAAAAGGTCGAACTTCTATGGAGATAGAAGTTGAAGATGTTTTTCAGTCTGATGCACCAATAACTGACGAACAAGGGGGAATTAGAGTGGATGAAGAGATATACATACCACCTCCTTTGAAAACTATCAGTGTGGCTGATATAAGTGGTCCTCGACTCATGATAACTAAGATTGTCAATGAAAATTTCAAAAGTTATGGTGGCACACAGATTATCGGTCCTTTTCACAAGGTAAATATTCATGTTTCTTAAAAATATTAAATCTACTTTCTGAATTCAATCTTTTCCTCTTTATAGTGCTTTTCAGCCATTGTTGGGCCAAATGGTAGTGGAAAAAGTAATGTCATAGACTCTATGTTATTTGTATTTGGATATAGAGCTTCTAAGATTCGGTCCAAAAAAATCTCAGTTTTGATCCATAATTCAAGCGAAAAACAAAATATCAATAGGTGTACAGTGTCTGTACATTTCCAACAAATAATTGATAAGGTATGTATAGTACTAAATTTATCTATATCAAATTTGATAAAATAATGATTTTGTTTAGCCTGGGATGGATTATGATATTGTTCCAAATAGTGAGTTTGTTATATCCAGAACAGCATTTAAAGATAATTCTTCATATTATGAACTTAATGAAAAGAAAGTACAGTTCAAAGAAATTGGGAGGCTTTTGCGATCTTATGGTGTAGATCTGGATCACAATCGCTTTTTAATTCTACAGGTATGTATCACAATATTAGTAGGTATAACCATCACAAATAATTTAATGAAAAACGTTCGAAATAAAATTTATTCGATTCATGGAGTCTGTTTAGGTCAATGTAGTTTGATTTGTTATACCTTATGTTTTGTGAGATATTAAAGTGGAATTTTAGAATTTTAGAATTTTTGTGTTCTGGAATTCTGGAACTCTGTTATTTCAGCATTTTAGAATCTTAAAATTTAGAATATTCGAATTTTTTAATTTTGGGATTTTAGAATTCTGGAAGTTTAAGAACTGTTTAAATGATAATATATATTACAAAATATAAGATATTAAAAAAAAAAATTATATTGGATCAGATCTTAAATAGAATGAATTTTATTTTAAACATTTTTTGTTGCGGTCAAATTATTAGTAAGTTATTTTTTGCTAATTCATACTGTATATTTCTATAATTTTATTTTGTATGAATTTTTGATTAACATAGGGAGAAGTTGAACAAATAGCAATGATGAAGCCTAAGGCTCAGAATGAGAATGATACTGGCATGTTGGAATATTTGGAAGATATAATTGGAACTTTCCGTTATAAAGAACCATTGGAAAAGCTATCGGAGAAGGTAGAACATTTATCAGATTATAGAACGGAGAAATTGAATCGTCTTAGAATTGTTGAGAAAGAAAAAGTAGCATTGGAAGAACCAATGCAAGAGGCTGTTCAATATTTGAAAATGGAGAATATGGTTATAAAATTGCAACATCAGCTTTATTGTTACAAAAGGTAATTTGATCATTAATATACGTTGATGTTACTAGGTAACAGATTGGGCCTGGTGTTCTCCGAAAATATGGACTAGCCCTCTCATCATTTTGAAATTCTAACCTTTCAAAATTCTAAAATTTCGAACTTTCCAATTTCGGACATTTAAAAAGTCCACAGTTCGAAAGTTCTGAAAATGGAAAATCTCTGTGTTCGAAAATTTTTAAGTTCCAGAATTTCGAAATTTTAAACTTCAAGAATTTCAAAATTTCAAAGTTCTAGAATTCCGAAATTCCAAATACCCAAAATTCAAATACTTTAAAATTTTTAATTCTATGATTCCGAAATTCTAAAATCTTAAGATTCTAAAATTCTCTTCAAAAATCTTATGGAAATAAATATTTAGGCCGAAATATAATTTCAATTTTTTATTATGCTTGATTCCGATAGAAAAGATAGTAAGGATAAAGGATCTGGGCTACGCTAGAAAAAGTCTTAGTTACGCCAGTGTTAATAAAATCAGTCATTTATAAATTTAATGGAAATTTTATGTTTCATTAGATTTGAAACTATAAAGGAAGTTGAGCAGCATGAAACCAAAATAAAAGAGTTAAACGAAGATTTATCAAAGCTTATGGACAAAATAAAAGAAGTTCAGAAGGATAAGGAACAGAAGAGTAAAGTAATTGCAGAAAGGAGTAAAAAATGGGATAATTTACAAAAGAAAAGAGATGATGTTTTGGTTAAATTTGATAAAATACGAAAACATGACGAATCACTTCATGCAGAATTAGTGGAGACAAATAAAAGGCGAAAGGCTAATATAGCAACTTTAAAAAATGTAAGATTTAATATTTTCATTTTTGCCAAATACAATATTGCCTTATATTGTGCCTTACAATGAAAGGCCTCCCAAAATAATACTGCAATTTTAATGAAACCTGATTAGCCTTATTATAGAAATTTTAAATTTTCAAATTTCCAAAGAGCGACATAAAAAGTCATCTTTTTTTGGTCTCATAATTTTAGTATAGACCTTTGTACCAGATAATTGCTTAATCATAAGACATCAGTCATAACAAATTTTCAAATTGAACCAACAATTAATTTTTCATCTAAGAACGTGACTAGTTATGATCTTAGGTGGAACGTTACGATTTAAGAGTTGCGATATTTAAATCCACGAAAAGCATATTTTAAATTTTCATTAGAGGCTCACATAAAAGAAGTTAAAAAATTGCCCTCCACTATTTTTTCTTGGGATTTTGACAAATTGTAATTTTTTAAAACGATCAAAGCACATATTTTAGTACAATCATTTTATGGTTTTTTAAAAAACCTCAAGTCATTTGGTCCAATTTTAATTAAGGTATTCTGTTTTAAACAGTGTCCACTTATTTTTGTCCTCAACTATGTATATTCTATCAATTAGAATATACAACTTTCGAAAATGAATTTCATAATTTTTTACATTATGGACTACCAATATTGGACTACAGTTTTATGAAAGAACATTTTTTTTATATACATACAGCTATATTGAATTTTGAAAATGTAAGTTTAAATTCGTTTTAAGCAGTTAACAAAACTCCTGAGAACATTTTTTAAAATTCTAGGACTGACCGTATATTGAAGCGTATGGGCTGACGCGTTAAAAAATGTTGATTTTTTTTGCCTGTCATATCACAGAAACTAATTATTGTTTCATCTTGAATTTGGTGCAAAATTTCAGTTCCAAAATTGTGAAACCAAAACGTGGCGAGAAATGTTTGGGACACTTTTTAGAAATATATAAATGCATATAAAAATTTGGGAATTTCAAATTTTCAGATTTTCAGATTGGAAATGTCCACTATAACACTTTACTAGCATAAAAATTGTATAGTTATCATGTATTTTTACTGATATCATAAAAATTAAAAACTTACGGCTATAACATATACAGGGTGTCCAAAAAATACTATGCAATCCGAAAACCTTACTCGTGAAAATAGAATCAAAAATTCTTTTACCATTTTGCAATCTGCGGCCTATTTTTCGAGGTATAAGCAACAAAATTGAAACAATCGAGTCGTTAACTAAACAGTGAGGTCCATCAAAAGACAAGAACGTATTTAAGAATTTAAAAATTAAGAAATCTGCAAGTTTGGAAAATGGAAATTTCTATATATTTACATGCCTACATTTTTAACTTTCCAAATTTCAAAAATTTGCAAATTTGATATTTCCGCGCTTCTGATTACTGACTTATTGCTGTCTTAGATAATAATTTGATATTTCTTATAGGAGAAATCAAAGTTGGAAGAGCTGAGTAAAGTACCAGAAAAAAGTATCAGAGACATCGAGGAATGTAAGGAAGTCATTGAAAATCATGAGAAAAACAAAAAGAAGGAAGAAGCAGTACTAGAAACCTTGATGATTGAATTGCGCAAGAAAACTGAACCATTATTGAATGACCGTTCTCAACTTGAAAAGCAGTTGATTTCTTTAAGGAAAGATGTTGATCAAGCGCAAGCAGCTTTTAATATTGCTCAGTCTGAATTAGAGTTATATACCTCAGTAGAATTTACTGAAAAGGACAAATTAGAAAAATTAAAGAATTCCTTAAAATCTACAACAGAGAATTTAAAGGAGAAGAAAGAACAGTTGCAAAGTTTACAAAATGATATTCCAGCTTGCGAACGTGATTTAGAGAAAGCACAAAAAGAATTGAGAACAGTAGAAGATAATGAAATTAAAATAACTTCTGAATTAAGAAGGATGAGAATTTCTTTTGAGGAACAAAAGTCTGCGATGCAAGCAAATACATCAAGGAACAAGGTTATCAGTAGTTTAATGCGGGAGAAAAGAGAAGGCAGAATTCCTGGTGTATTTGGAAGATTGGTAAGCTAATTAAAATAAATTTTAGATAAATAAATTTAATATATTGTGTTGTATATGGGCGATTGTTTAAAAATATAGATTTCTATGTCTTGTGAGTTTTAATGTTCTTAAGAACATAAAACATGCCCAAATGGTGGATACCCTGGCTTATCACAAATCTAAATTTTTCATTGATCTTAGATGAATCACATTTAAACGTTGAAATTATCATTTTCGTGGCATGTCTATTACCAAAATCTATACAATGTGTCCCGGAACTCACGTAACTTCCGGAAATGGGGGTTGCTGGGGTGATTCTGAACAATTTTTTCCTTTACCAAAATGTTGCTTGAAGCTTCGTTTTTGAGTTATTAAAGAAAAACACTGGCCAATCAGGACGCGCGCTGAACCACGAGAGCGTTAGATTTCAACCGCGCTCGTGGTCGTGAACAAACGCATTGACACAGCGTGAGTATCAAGGGAAGCGTGCGATAAATGTTACATCGTCTTAAATTAAAAACAATGTGGAATTATTAGTTGCTCGTGAGCAACAAATAAAATAATGAATCGTTCATGTAGAATGAATAAATCAAATTGATCCAACACTTTCATTCGATGTTCGATATGGATAAAAAAAATACTTTGTAGTCACTTTTGAAAAAAAAAAATGAGAAAAACGAATAAACATTTTGGAAATCAATATTACGTATCTCTATTGGCTATTAAAAAGTGAGCCAAACACGTGTGAATACAAATCGACTTTTTCTCAATTTTTCAACTGGATGATTTCAGTGATTCTTTCTTTATGATCTTCACAGTCGCCATTTTAAAACTGAAAAACACTGTAAAAAAAATTTCTAGTTTTGGGCTACTTGTTTATCAAATAATAATTTGAATATCTATAAAATTAAAGAGATGGCACCGAAATCAAAACTGAAGTTCCTTTTGGGCCACCCTATATATGAATTGGTAAAGGAAGATTCAGACTTTTGATACGCTAGAATATCTTATAATTATAACGAACGTAGGTACTCTGAGTTGCATTGAACTTGTCGCAGTGAAGTTGGCTACAAATTCACTAACACATTCACACCGCGTCGGTGAGTCGATCTCGCCCATCGTCTTACCGACGCAGCGTGAATGTGTTAGTGAATTTGTAGTCAACTTCACTGCGACAAGTTCAATGCAACTCACGAGGGGAACTACCCAAGTGTTACGCTCACTTATTAATGAAACTTTGCCACCTTGTAGAGCTCGTCGCCCTGAACACGCCTATACCCCCTTTTGGGGGCAGACGGCTAATTGTTTAAAAGATATTAACAATTAAAGTTAGTTACTCCTTACATTGAGAAGTATGACAAACTAACACATAGGAGCGGTTAGCTCCGCTTGTAATCTACTTGTAATCTAACTGTCCATGGTTCCCAATATTTTTTTTTTTTATTATTTTTTCTTTTCTTTCTTTTTAAATGATTTGTCCCTTTTCGAATAACTGAAACAACTGTGTTATTATCATTGCATTTATTAATAAATAATTACATGCGCTGAAGTTTTTATAGGATTCAAGTTATCTTTCCTATCTAATACGTACATTAACATCATTGCCGCAATTCGGAATTTACACGCGTTTATTTGTTATTGTTATACACAATTATTTTTTGCAACTTTAGTTTTCATCTGTTATATACAGAATTGCTGTACATAAATTTATAATCTTCTGCCGTGGGTTCTTGGCCGCCTATGTCCATACGTAAGTAGATCTTCATTTGTTTACCGTCAATAATGGCTGTAGAATAGTGAAACGCGGCATGACACAATGGAACGATGGTAGAAAAAAAGTGGTAACAAGTGCAATTTCCTTTTTTATTAACATATTAAAAAATGAAGATTTAATTCTACCATTAGAAGAAGACCCAGAAGACATTAGTGAAGAATCCAAAACAATAGGACAGAAATTATATTCGTATTTCGTGGAAATTAACAATGCATTAGAATGCACGAGCGAAGAACATCGCGAAGACAAAGATGAAACAAATATCAGTGATGAAGAACTCTTCACATACGAATCAGGTCAGGAAGACGATGCAACTGCATTATCTGCAGAATCGTCAGTCGAAGAGAGCGAGAGTGAGGAAGATAAAAATATTCCATTTTCAGCTAAATGCAAAGTTGTTTCATTATCTGAACAGCATCCAGCATGGTCTTTGAAATCGTTACAAACGAAGGGATCAAAATTTTTGAAATCAAGAATGCAACTAACTCGATGGAGAAGACAAGTATCTCAAGGAGGATCCAGAAAGGATAAGATGAAGAGGATCGATACGTATGTTTATAGTAAATTCTGTGAAGCACGGGATGAGAAACGTAGAATGGTAACATCTCGATTATTGCAACAATGGGCCATGGAAGCAGGACGTAAATTTTTGGATGAAGATGCGTATAAGGAGTTTAACGCATCGTCACGTTGGATACACAATTTTAAAACTCGACATCGCATCAGACAGAGGAAAGTGACGAAATATGTGAGTGATAGAGACATTAGAATTGCGGATAAAGTTTCAAATGCTGCTCACTCGTTTCAAGTAGAAACAGCCGCAATCGTGCAGATCTTTAATCCAGATCACGTAATTAACACCGATCAAACGGGTGTAGAATATTTTATAAGTAGTGGGTGTACCTTGTCTTACAAGGGTGAAAAACAAATGGAAGTAAATGTTCATAGTGTACAAAAAATGACTCATTCGTATACTGCGCAATACGCATTGATACTGTCAGGCAAACTTCTTCCGAAGGTATTTATTTGCTTGCAAGAAGTTAGTGGAAGATTTGGTCCTCAAGTTTCTCAAGAGGTTGCAAGACTGATGGAAGAATTTGGAAATGTTGTTGTCACATGCACAAAATCTGGTAAATTACACACGGATACATATAAACAATTCTTAAACGACGTCATTGAACCGTATGTGCAGAAGAATCCGTTCCTTTACATTACTGACTCTTGGGCAGGTCAAACAAATCCTGCCCTATATGAGCAATTTAAAGATGAAAATGAACAACCGACATGCACATTTAAGGTAATACCGCCAAAATGCACGTCATTGTGCCAACCCTGCGATATATACTTCTACCGGCAAGTGAAGCATTTAATACGAAGAATACAAAATCATCATGCATCAGAGGAGGGCAGTTTAATAGTATAAATGAATGTACGCTGTTTAAATGGAGTAAACTTGTAAAAAATAATTGCGTGTGTGTATGTGTGTGTATAATAACAAATAAACGCGTGTAAATTCCGAATGCGGCAAAGATGTTAATGTACGTATTAGATAGGAAAGATAACTTGAATCCTATAAAAACTTCAGCGCATGTAATTATTTATTAATAAATGCAATGATAATAACACAGTTGTTTCAGTTATTCGAAAAGGGACAAATCATTTAAAAAGAAAGAAAAGAAAAAATAATAAAAAAAAAAAATATTGGGAACCATGGACAGTTAGATTACAAGTCGAGCGTTTTACCGCGGAGCTAACCGCTTCTATGTGTTAGTTTGTCATACTTCTCAATGTAAGGAGTAACTAACTTTAATTGTTAATATCTTTTAAACAATCAGCCGTCTGCCCCCAAAAGGGGGTATAGGCGTGTTTAGGGCGACGAGCTCTACAAGGTGGCAAAGTTTCATTAATAAGTGAGCGTAACACTTGGGTAGTTCCCCTCGTCAGGGTACAAGATCTCTTATTAGCGTAGACGTGTGACTTTGGAGACTACCTCTCAGGGTCGAAGTGTCGCGCTATGGTCCGGTTGTCGGATCGCGGGCTTGTATGGTTTTACACGAAAAGAACCACGAGTCGCCAAGTGGTATCAAGCGTATTGTGTGGCATGAAAAGGGCTCTTCGCGACGTATTCGGATTGTCGAACTTGAACAAGAGGTCAAGCGGAGAAATTCCAAACATGCAATTAATTCACGAGTACAGAGAAAAGAATGAATGGTATTTGAAGTGTACAGCAGAGTTAGAAAAAAAAAAAAAAAAAACAGCTGAGCGTAAGAAAATAAGAAGTATTTATAAAACGGTCAAGCAGAGTTCTGCCATACAATGCAGGAGTCGGTATTGTTTCTTTTTGTTGTTGCTCGTTTTTTTATATTAGGTAGAGCCTGTGGTTGGTAATGATGGTTGCGAAGAGTCCCTTGGAGTTTCTTCCCCTTATACTCTGACTGGTCTGAGAGTGTTTTTTTTCGTGATGTTGACTGGATGAATTTCAACCTCATGTTGTGAGGCAGGGGAAAAGTTTCTAAAAACCTGCAACATGAACAAAAGAGTAGTATGGTTGCTTATACGAATTTGCGTGATAGGGGAGAGGGAGTTTAAAGAGTGTGCTTTGCCTTGATGCCTGTTTAGACCATCATGATTAGGAATCTGATTTTAAGGGGGTATGGAATGTTGATTTGTTGAAAATCTGAGGTGGCTGCGACCAGGGGGTTGGCATGGTCATGACTGGTAATTCTTAACAAACTGTTGGATGGTTGTAGTTATTTGCGGTATTTTAACAAGTCGGTGGAGTTCCATTGTAGGGTAGTCTGTGGGGAGGTTGAGGATGATTTTAAGAGCTTCGTTTTGAAGTCTCTGTAGGGTTTGTATATGTGTTATTGTTGCGTCAGACCAAACCTGGGCTCCGTAGAGGAATACAGGTCGGATGCAAGTAGAGTATAGGTGAAGCTCTAGCTTGGTGGGAAGTTCGGGTGTCGGTCCTATGAAAAGTCTGGTTGCATCAATGGCGGCCAGAGCCTTCTTCCTTCTATTGAAGCTGGCAGGTTGCCAGGTGATTTTGGAGTCAAGCACAGTGTCCGAGTATGTGAGCTGGTTGTTCCATAGTATAGTGGTACTATTCACAGTGAGGGTGGGGAATCCAGCTCGTGTGCGTTTGTTTCTTCTATAGAACAATATGGCTTGGATCTTAGCTATGATAAGGGTTAGTTTCCAGCTTTGGAAAAACTGATGGAGAAGTCGCAGACGCTAGCCATACTTTAGGCACAAGGAGTTGTAGGTTCCAGGAGGGGGCCAGCACGGCAGTATTGTCAGCAAAGAGTGCTAGGGAAGCGTTATTGGTTGTGGGGAGGTCGTTGATGAAGATGAGGAATGGGAGGGGTCCGAACACCGATCTTTGAGGTACTCCAGCTACTATGGCGACAGGTTCCAAGGTGTCAGCTCTTATTTGGGTATAAAATTTACGATTTGATAGGTAGTTGCGCGGGGGGGATTGAAGTATGATAAGTTTTGCTATGTCCATTGTGCCAAATGGAGTCAAACGCTTTGTGGAAGTCTAGGGATACATTGCAGTCTGTTGACGTTTAAATTGTGGGTGTGGTACTGGGCTACACGGATCAGTTACTGAATTGTGGAATGTTTTTTACGAAAACCGAATTGCTGGTCGATGATAATGTTGCTAGTTTGGGTGTGTTCCAGAAGTATGAAGTATGTTATAATTTCGAAGATTTTTGATAGCATGGGAAGTAGACTAATCGGCCTGTGGTTGGCAGGGTCGTGGTGAACTTTGCCGGGTTTAGGGTTTGGGACTGTTTTAGCTATTTTCCATTGGGTTGGGAAGTAGCACTGCAGAAATGAGGATTTGATTATATAATAGTGTAGGAAATAAGCATTAGCTTAGAATTCATTGAAAGATTTTATTAAAATCTTAGTTAAATTGTTAAACACGTAAAATGTTGATAAACACGTAAAATGCAGTTCTCCCTCGGTTGGTCAATCTCTCGCTGTGACTCGCAAAAACTCTCTGCCCTCCGGCCGGAAAACCTATTGTCTAGGACCACCCTCTCTTACAAACACCGCACCCCGTTTCGCCTCACTCGACACTATCTATGGGCTTTTCGACGCGACACTCAAACCTTAGCCTAAACAGTCACTCGCATTCGCTCAGCTCTAAGCACTCGTCATTAGTACCATGCGCCCGTCCCACTCATGCGACCATTCAGCTCACGCACACACACTACAATAGATTTGAAGAATTACTTTGTATAAGGCATTTTTGTGAAGAGGAGGAGAGATTTTATTGTGACCACTCGTTTTGTTGGGTCTAAAGTTTTTAATAATTGAAGCTATTTTTTGAGGCGATATAAATTTGGTTAGGTTGGGGAAGGCAGTTGGGTTTCTATGCTCACAAGGGGAGTGCACGAGTGTGGAAATCGCTTTTGGAGTGGCACTAGGTGGAAGTTGTAGTATACATGTAGGGTTACAAAACCCTAATGGGGTTCTTCAGAATGGGCCTTGGTTTTTGAGATATTTTAATGTAAAGTTTCTGACGTATCTGGTATGTCATGTAGGTAAGTCTTGTTCCCAAGACAGCTTTTTTTTTTTGGTTTGGAAAAGGTCGTTTATTTTCATACTTACAGAGTATAAGAATACATAGGAATAAACAGCCTTATAAAACCTTGAAACAAGTAACATATATAATAAAATATAAGTAAGAATCGGCATGTTATAACAAGATAAACTCACCAATTAACAAAGTAACCGATATAAATCTTTGGCAAGGCAACTAGGAACAATGTTCGAGTACAAAACAAGCGTAAACATTAGAAATATTAACTAGAGCTATGGAAAAGAAAAATAAAAACCATAACTATCAGTCTATCAAGAATGAGGTCAGGACTTAAAACTAGGGTTAATATTTACACTATATACATATATACAAGTAAAGGCACGATAAGGTGAACCATAAAATACACAGAGTGATCAGGGTCTTAGCCCCCTTATGGGGCGTGCAGTTTCCCTAGATCTGTTTCTGGACCTTCTTCGGATCTCGTCCATGTGCCTTGCATCCTGTTGGAGCCACCAGTATGCCTTTAATAATCGGGCGACACTCGAAACGTCGCCCACGGGTAGAGTCGTTGAGTAAATTGAATTACTGTGAGTCAGGTTGTCCGCCATGGCGTCTATAGACTTATTGGCTCTGTGCCTCTTTATATGATAAATAATAGGGATATTATCTTCATTTTGGATATATCCTCTTTTGTCAAGATGGGTAAAAAGCTCAGGGGGTATATATCCACTTGCCATCATTCGGGTAATATTGGCCGGATTGATAATCTTCATCTCGTTCATTATGTTGTTGTTGATATCGAAGAGTGTACTGAAATAATTCCTAGTTAATGTGAGGGTGAAGGTGTCGAATCTGGGAATCTTTGCATATGTGTCTTGGTTGCTAATCCTTTTGAGGTAGCTGGAGTGGGCTGATCTATAGGAGCCTAAGCAAGCCCTGAGGCATGATCTCTCGAATTTCCTAGATTGCTCCATGACTGAGGGTCCAGTGTTCCACCAAATGGGGCCGCGTATGAGATGATCGGCCTTATTAAGAGCTGATAGCAGATTATTTTTGCTTTAGGTTCTAGATACTGGTTGTGGAAGATCCGAGCGTTGGTTTTCAGGGCATTTTTGGCCTTATTGATCTGGGAAGTATGATGGTCGTTCATCCTAATCAAGTAATCGAGGTTGATGCCAAGGTATTTCACCACGTTTTTGCTGGGGATATCGATAGGACTGTTCGTTTCGTGGTCGGTGATGCGTATTTTGAAATTCTTGATCTTTTTCACTGTATTGAAAGGAATTTGGTTGACTGTTCTCCTGAACAGAATGGCTTCGCTCTTTGCTGGGTTGATCCTGAGGTTCCAGTCTAGATAGTAGGAGTTGATGAGGTCGATAAGGTCGTTCAGCATTTGTTGGATGCGGTCTGGGTTGGTGTCAGCGACGTATATTATTACGTCGTCTACAAAAGCGATCGAGTGCGTGTTGTTCCCCGAGTTTAGGTTAAAGGCATTTATAACCTCTGCGTTGTATATGCTGAAGAGAATGGGCGAGGTGACCGTTCCCTGCTGCAGTCCTTCAGTTATTATAAAAATATGAGACGAGGTGTTTGAACCGTCCCACGTAACGAACGATTTACCGTGGATCATGTCGGTAATTAGTGCGACTAGGTGTGGAGGGAAATTCAGTTGAACCAGTTTATATGTGAGCCCATTTAGCCAGACAGAATCAAATGCTTTTTCCATGTCTATGAGGACTGCCCCTACTAATTTGCCATTCAATAGGTAATAGTTCAGGTCCGAGGCCAGTTTGTTGATGGCATGCACTGTTGAGTGTTTCGCTTTAAAGCCGAATTGGTTGTCCGGGATAATTTTGTTACTCTCGATGTGGTCAAGCAGACTTCTTTTGATGAGCTTCTCGAATATCTTGCTAATGTTGCAGGTGAGGCTTATTGGTCTATAACTGGAGGGATCGGATGGTGGTTTGCCTTTTTTGTGGATCGGGATCACTTTCGCTCTTTTCCATCTTACCGGGTAGTATGACTGGTTGACAGCGTTATTGAATATTGAGGTGTAGTCAAGGATCATGTTTATTGGCAGGTGTTTTAAGACTATCATCGGGATGCCGTCTAAACCACTGGAGGTCTTGTAATTTGCCCTTCTGAACAACACGGTCGATTCGAACCGGCTGTAGAATATTCTATGTTGTGGGTGTTCATAGTTTGGGTTGAAGGCTGGATTATTTTCTGAGAAGGTTGTGATAGTGTGAGACTGGGCTCTGTTATCAGATATGGAGTTTCGAATCTTCTGTGCCTCTGCATCGGCAGCGATTTTAACAGCGGAGGTGGTGTTGGTATACCTTGGGGAATTGATGTTTTCGAAATGCTTCCCGATAACGTTGAGTTTATCCCTAGGATCCACAATGAGGTAGTTATTGTCTATTTCCGTAAGCTGTTCGGTGTTAATGCTATTTTGTGCGTTGAGGATCGGGTTGTTCTTATCGACACTTAGGTTTTCTACTTTAGGAAGCCTTTTGTGTCTTAATAGGCTGTTGATGGTCGGAAAGAAGGAGTTAGGCTTTCTGTAATTAATGGCCCTCTGTTTTGCTTCCCAGTACGCAGTTGTTGTTTTGCTAAATTCGGAGTGGAGTTGTAAGTTTATATGTTTAATTAGGTTTTTGATCGCCTGAGAAAGGCCAAGATCCCTGGGGGGGGGGGGGG